GGATTCGCAAAAGGGGGCGCCCTGGGTCAGGCCAAGGGGAGCCACAGGGGGACTCGTTCAGGAGCAGGGGGAGCAGCAGGGAAACCCCGGGGAGTTGGGAGATCGGGGGCCGGCTTCTTTCCGCCGGACGGAGTGAGAGGGTGGAGTTCCCAGTGTGACCACACGGAGCAGAGCAGGAAGCATCGAGAGCGGAAGGAGATTGGGGCAAGACCCTGCGAAAAGGAAGGACAGGAAGAGGTGGACCCAGCAGAAGCCTCTTAAACTGGTGTGGAGGCGGGGACTGATTCAGAGGGGACTTCAGCGGTCTAAGGCGTAACAGACGTGGGGCTGCGCGCCTCGGCTGTGGAGACAAACAATGTGCTTCAATAAAGACTTTTGTAAATAAAGTGGACTTGGCGTTGGTCTCTTGTGAGCTGGGACCCGAGGCGGCCCTGACACAGGCAGAATAAAAGGCTGGAATGGATCTGCAACTTCTGCCTGCATCTGTCTCTGGAAGTGGCAGTGGGGTGATTATAGTTCCAGTGGCAGCAGTAAGGGAGGGTGAAGGGCTACTTCTTCCGCAGGCAGAAGCTGTAGATCCATTTCAGTATCTGTCTCCATCTCATGGTTCTGTCTCCGTCTGAGCTCTGCTGACCACCTTCTATGAAGAGAGATCTGTGGACCTTGGATCCACCCTCAGAACTCCAGATCTGCTCTTCCTCTGGTCAGCTTGGCCCAGGTCTTTTTCTCTGCAAGAAAAATCTCCTGTTTTAGCTTCTTGGCCACTCTTGTGGTTGTTAGTTAGCATCTTGCCTCTTTAGCTTGCCCTTATCTTTACTTATTTGTCTTGTGACATTTCCTTTGAAATTATAGGAAGGGATTTGTATGCCAGTTTCACCAGTTCCTCCATTTGGTGCAGGAATTTTATTTTTAGTATTAAAAGGGCTCCGTTCTTGCACCTACACCCACCAGTTTTAACTGTTCTTTGAGATGCAGAGGGGAGGAAAATGGATAACTGGGACATTCCAGGATCAAATCAGAAATGGGGACAGTTTCGGTAATTCCAGGACTGTCCCTGGAAAATAGAGACACTTAGAGGGTATGAGTTCATTGGCATCTGGGGCTTTGTCCCTATGAAATTTTATTATTATTATTATTATTATTATTATTATTATTATTATTATTATTAGTTTCCTCAGCCACTCTGGAGCTTCTCATAACTTACCAACTTGTGATAAGAAAAATCAGTCAGGGCAGACAAACAGCCAAAAATATCGCTTTTCCACTATGACCAAATTTCCTTTGAAACACAGAGGAGTTTGCAGCACATTCTACAGCTACCTTCCATTCACATACAATAGTATGCCAACCATCCAGACATCACGCTTTCCTCATGCAGTTGCTGTGTGTGCTCAGAATTCCTAGAAACGCCCAGTGATTCTGTGGTCAATGACTAGCTTATTTCACAGACAAGTCAGTGTCGAAAGTGTTCCCAGAGGGTAGTCTAGTAGCGAAGAGAGTGAGCTGTGAGGCAAGAAGTTCCATCATTCAACCCAGTGGCAGCGATGGACACATCAGATGGTGCAAGGCCAAGCTATTATTAGCCTCATTCCCCCACCCCATTCTGCAGTTCAAGAGATAGATGTACTCATGGAAGTCAGGCTTGCGAAAATGCAGCTAAGAAGCTCAGATCATGTATATATGACTGACACTCTTCTTTGGAAATTCAAGCAATGTCCAGACTTTAACATTCAAAAAAAAGTTTACTTGCAGAAACTTATAGATGAATTAAAACATAGTATTTAAAGCCACATGCTTCCGCAAGCATGGACTTACAGTCTCTTCTTCTAGCTTCCAAACTGAGGTATTTTCTGCTCTTTGCAGCCTTCTGTATCTTAGTTAGGCCGTGCCTTGCAGGTCCTAGGAGAGACTTCCCCTTTCACCTTCTCCTGCCGCTTCGCTCTCTTTCTTCCCAGCAGAGAAGCAGCATTCCAACACTCTATTCAACTTAGCAGTATTCACAGTGGATTCTAAAACACAGTCATCTTGCTTCACATAAAAGAGTTTCTCCTTCACTAGATATCTCCCATGTGACCAATGTTAGCCAATCTCATGAGAACTACTAGAATTCAGTTACCAACCAATTTTAAACACTTAGTAATCTAAGCATTTACAATTTCAGTGAATTAAATTACTATACTTAACAGTACTGACCTACCTTACAAGACAGGACTGTTCCAAGTATTGCTGAGGTATACAATGTTCTGAACACTTTAAAATGAGCCTGAGAAATACTGTATGTAATAAGGGTAAGCATTTATAAGTCGTCATGGCAACACACCGTATTTGAACTAACCTGAACCTTGCTTGCTGGAAGGAACCCTTTATAAAACAAGGTCGAGCCCTCATAAGATATTCTATAAAAGTACGTATGTCTGCATCCCAACATGGAGCCCTCACCCCACCCCCCGCAAACAGTGCACAGGCTATAATTTGTGCCTAAAAAGGCTGGGAATTCAGTAGCTCGCATACAGCAAATCATAAACCAGAAAGATGTGTGAGTTTTCAGTATGGTATGATACAGAATATTATGATACAGAATTTATGCAGATGCATTCAAAGTCAGAAATGCTCTTTTTAATGCACTGGAATCACAAATAAAACATATATATAATTTATTTATAATCATTACACAAAAGTTAACGCCACCAATTAGAATAAAAGCCTAATGCCTAATAATTTAATAAGTTCTGTCCAACTGAGCCCTTTCAGTGAGATACCAGAGATAGATCTATTAAAACAGATTTGGTTTTGAAAGAGAAAGCTGATTGTGTAGTAGAACATGGTGATCTATTACCTGAAGGTGTTTGGTCATCAGGTGGGGAATATAAAACAGACATTTAGAAAGGAGCAGCTTTTTCATCAATGTTGCTTTTTTTGGTACATTGCTGGACACACCAGAGAGAGTATGGGATTGTGTCTTCTTCCAATATGCATTACAGGATTTGTTTTCTCCCCACTGAACTCCTATTAAAGGAAGCTGTCATCCGTACAGGAATTGGCATCTGTGTATTTGCAACAGCCATCTCAAATGTATACACCTCAGCTTAATAGTGACTTACATTTTTTAATTCAGCAGAAGCTGGTTTGAGGATAGTTCAGGATTGCGGCTAACATCACATGTTCTTGGCTTTAAACACCAGCAGTGTGAGCATCCTGGAATCAGACTAAACGATGCCGTGTACACAGAGTAAGTCTCAAATCAGGGCCTAGTAAGATTCCCCCATGACCCTGTTTACACAGAACACTAAAAAGCACTTTGGAGCCAGTGGTGAACTCTTTGTCCACATGTGCAAATCTGATTCCATTTTGCCCGAAGTAGGCTTCACAAAAGACAGTGGAAAGCACTTGCGAAATTTCTAGCACTATTTTGTGCCACATGAAGTTGTGGCTATTGATGAATAGGCCAAGGAGGAGCAGACTTTGGTATTCATTACATAATAGCTGGATCTAACAACAGGCACAGATTTGGTAATATGGTGCTCTGAGAGAGAACAAAAATTGGCACGCCCACTCACCCCAAATATTTATTTTCACAATGACACCTTTTAGTACAGTTGCTTTTTTAATGGATCTTCTCAGTAGGTACCTGTATAAATACAGGGGTTTTAAAAAAAATTATTAGTATTAGCATTTTGCACCCCCTCAGCTTGGCAAGCTGGGCAGAGGAACCACCCTCACCACCTTAAATCCAGCACTGACGGGCAGTGGCTCTCCAGGCTTCCAGATAGAGATCTGTACCAGACCTACATAGAGATTCAATTCTGCAAACCTAAATTTATCATAGATTTGTTGGATTGGAAGGACCCTGAGGGTCATCTAGTCCAACCCCTTGTAATGCAGAAAAGCCTGTTAGGCTTGCCAATTGGAAGGTTAGCAGTTTGAATCTGTGCAACAGTGTGAGCTCCCATTGCTCTGTCCCAGTTTCTGCCAACCTAGCAGTTCAAAAGCAGACCAGTGCAAGTAGACAAACAGGTACCACTGTGGTAAACAGCATTTCTGTGCACTCTGGCACTCGTCACAATGTTCTGTTGCACCAGAAGCAGTTTAGTCCTGCTGGCCACATGACTCGGAAAGCTGTCTGTGGACAAACGGCGGCTCCCTCGGCCTGAAGCGAGATGAGCACCGCACCCCATAGTCGCCTTTGACTGGACTTAACCGTCCAGGGGTCCCTTACCTATTTACTTTTACCTAATACAGGAATTTGAACACACATTTTCCACATGCCCATCCAGTTTGAAACCATACCACACCCTGCTTAGCTTTGCAAATACTGTAGCAGTTTTATTGCCGCACCATTTTTTGTTACGTGGCGGCACTTTGCAAACCAATGCAAGAAAACTGGATTCCGGGTTCAGTTTAGGATTCTATGCATATGCATGCAACATCAAAACACTCCCCAAACTAAACAGTGGGGGCTGGGAATGGGGGGAAAGAGAAAGGTTCTGCCCCAAGGAGCGTACAGTCTTGGATTTGTAAGAAATGGCACATGCCCCCCAATTTAATGGGAACAATGGTTGCGCCAGTTTCTTATAACATTTTGGGAAGTTTGCAAATTATTTGGATTTGAAGACTGAACAAATATTGGCTTGTAGAAAACGGAATCACTGGATGTTAAGGAGTGAATACTATATTCAACTGAGAGAGAACCAGAAGTCTTTTTCCTTTCTCTTCTCTTTCTTTCTCTTTTCTTCTTCTCTTCTTCTTTTCGCTCCTGTTGCTCCTTAGATTAGGTTTTTAAAGTATTTAAAAATCTGGTGTATTCCAGAAAGAGACATTGTCCTGGGTATGAACTTTTGTATATCTTTTGATAAGTATAAATAAAAACAGGAAATTTCCAGCCCTCAAAACAGGAAAAGGGGAGTTTGCAGAGTAGTGGCACCCTGAGAGCTGGGAGGCAGGCAGAGGGTTAATCCCCGAGCAGGCTTGCCTCTCCGTCTTGTTGTTGCAGGATCCATTCTTGCCTGCCTAGCGAGCGGTCCTGCATTACATCACCACCTCCGTAGCCCATTCGCTGAAGGCCGGTCCCTCGGTCTCTCTCGGTCTCTCTCTCTCGGCCGCCTCCCGCCTGCCCTTTCTCCCCAGCCTGCAGGGCTCGAGCCGGGCTTCCTCCTCGGGCGTGCCCGCTTCGGGGGCGAGAGAGAGAGGGGGGCAGGGAGCGCGGGGCGCCTGGAGCATCCTTGATGCGCCTTGGCCTCGGCTGGGCTGCAAGGGAGGAGCGAGGATGGCGGAGAGCGAGTGCGAGACCCCCAGCACGCCCGGGGAGTTTGAGAGCAAATACTTCGAGTACAATGGGGTGCGCCTGCCCCCTTTCTGCAGGGGGAAGATGGAAGAAATCGCCAATTTCCCCGTCAGGGACAATGATGTCTGGATTGTTACCTATCCCAAATCAGGTAAGAAGCACGGCCGAGCTGGGATGGAGAGGGGCTGAGAAGGAAGGGAGGGGTCACTTATTATCTCCCCCCCACACACACACCGCATTTAAGGGATGGGTTGTTTTCCCTCCCAGATTTCACCTGTCCTCCCCCCCCCAAAAAAAACAAGTTCATGCAATGAGCATTGTTTTTTCTGACTCTTAACAAATGGATGCTATGTAATGTTGGGCTGTTACTGGCCTACTACAGAAGTGCATGACGTAAATCACATTTTTATACCTTGCTATCTCATTATCTTGGTCTTAATATAGAGCAGGTACGTTCAGTGCCGCAAATGTGTGTGCCAAAATGAGGGGTGTGTGTGCGTAGGTGGATTCATTTTCTCAGGTCCAAAGTGTCCCGCCTGCCTTTTAATTTGATTCCCTGCAATGCCTTATATGTGGATCAATAACAAACAGCAAGATTGGATGCCTGGTTTCCTTGGTAGGTGCAGTGTGTTTACTCGGAAGTAAGTCCTCCTGAGTGCAATGCAGTTAGCATCCTAACAGAAATGGCCCAAGGCATTTGGGGACCTGAATCAGAAAACCCAAAGGATACTCACCCACAGGACTGGTCCAAGACATGTTGGCACCTGAGGTGAACCACAAAATGGCACCCCCCCCCAAAAAAAAGAACAACAGGAAGGGGGGGTAAAATTAATATCTACTTTGGGATCGGCTGCCCCTCTGGACCCTTTGCCTGAGGCAGACCATCTCACTCTGCTTAATGATCTGAGAAGGCTTGATACTATGCAAACCAGAGGCTCTGAGACCTGTTTTGATTTAAGGTTGTGGCCAAGGAAGAGGAAAGAGACTTGCAAGTTTCCCAATATGTATTGATTGATTGCAGAAGAGATTAGAAATCAGCTTGCTACCTATCTTTATTGACAATCTCCCCTCCCACGACATAAGTGATTGCACGTACCTGAAAGGATTCAGTACCACACGTTTTTGGCAACTGCCGCAACACGAGAGGTGCCATCAAGAAAGGATGAGGCATGCTAGTTAAATGGAGCCATTGAATTCCAGGTACCAAGGACAAAAAATAGAACAAAATGGTGTAGACCACCCTCTGCTCACGAGCACCAGAAGGCACAGGCTGATTGCTTTCGGAAATAGGATATTGGACTGGATAGACCCTCAGTCGGATCCAGCAAGGCACGGTTGTGTTCCTATGTTCACTGTCTCCAGTGAGTCTCCTTGGGAGAAGGGTAGGCCACCCTGACTGCAAATATGGATCTGCTAACAGGTCTACAGAGGGCCCGCCAATTATACAAGGGTTTGATTCTGGGCATCCGCATGCAAAAGCAAAATTCTGCAATGTCAGAACCGTGCGCCCCTCTCCCACGAAGTGGTGGGTTCCTTGGGATACTCCCAGAGCCCTGTAAGCAAGGAACACCCACTGGGTGTATGGTTGGGGAGTGGAGGGAATAAAGAAATGGAAAGCAGGGTATGGAGGGGCTTCCTTGATATTTATTTACCGTATTTTTTGCCCTATAGGACGCACCTTGTTTTATAGGGGGAGAACAAGGGGGGGAAAATTATCCTCCTCTCTGCTCAGGAGCCCCTTCCATTTCTCCTCCCACTTCGCTGAAGGGGTGCTGTGCAGCTCTTCCTCTCTGCTGAAGCCAGGAGAGTCTTGCTCTCCTGGCTTCAACGCACCGACCCCTCTCGCTCTCCAGGCTTCAGCGAAAGCAACGCGAAGCTTCGGAGCTTCGGAGGCTTCGCATTGCTATCACTGAAGCCAAGGAGCCTGCATTTGCTCCGTAGGACGCACACACAATTCCCCTTAATTTTTGGAGGGGGAAAAGTGCGTCCTATAGAGCGAAAAATACGGTATGTATGTATTTATTTATTTATTTATGTGCTGCCCCCCCAAATTTGCATAAGGTTGTGATTGCATATGCAAAGTAAGCAGCAGAACCACTGTATTTTAGGAGGCGAAACCATTAAATACCTTTTCCCTTGCCATTGGCTAGCCCCTACGGTAAAAGTAGATAGATAGCCCCGTATCCTACTCACTTAAGGGGAATCTGATTACAATGGGCAGGATTATCTTGAAGGAATGGCACCAAAGCACATTTCTCAAAAATACTTAGTGTGTGCAGAAGGCTCTCTGCTACTTCATCTGTTTGAAGCTGTAGGCCCAGGTTTGACTCTAGTTCCATACAACTAATCTCACTTAGCAACATATCAAAAGACAAATCTAACCTGTATTTTAGTGTTTTGTTTGGGGGACCCAGCCAGATGGGCGGGTAAATAATAATAATTATTATTCAGTGAGGCCCAGATAAGTATTGAAATATAGATGCAGATATTGACACACATCTGCAACCATGTAGGCTGTGCATGAATAAGGCTGTTTCAGGTGTGTTGAATCAGGCAGTTCCTTATTATTTTCCACAGCTTGCTTCTGTAATTTACATGTGCTTAGAGCCCAAAAGTGGGCATGGGAGTGCAGCTTCTAGACATCTATCACATTAGTAACTTGTGATCATGCTATACCTTTTGTAGCAAGTGTATTTTGTCCACCCAAATGTATGGATAGGATCAGTGCGCTGTCAACCTATGTTCCCATCCCCCATCAAAAATATGTTGAGAATGTGCTGTATTTTCTTCAGAGAAATGAGGACTTCACTGGATGTCATGAAGGGCTGATGCATGGCTCCCACTGACTTTGTAACCCTGTTGTTGTTGTTTAGTTGTGTCCGACTCTTCGTGGCCCCATGGACCAGAGCATGCCAGGCACTCCTGTCTTCCCCTGTCTTCCACTGCCTCCCGCAGTTTGGTCAGACTCATGTTCGTAGCAGAGTGGAACACTCTGTCACAAGAGACCAGGGCCCTGCGGGACTTGACATCTTTCCGCAGGGCCTGCAAGACAGAGCTGTTCCACCAGGCCTTTGGCCAGGGCACAGCCTGACTCCCTCCCTCGGCAATCTTCGCGGAGCTCTGGCCCAATGGTTGCCAGTGGCTTGAATTAATTAATTTTATAATGAATGATTTTAGAGTGTTGTTTATGCTGTACTTTTGTACTGTTTTATTGTTGTTAGCCGCCCTGAGCCCGGCTTTGGCTGGGGAGGGCGGGATATAAATAAAATTTAACATAACATAACAGCTTCGAGAACACTGTCCAACCATCTCGTCCTCTGTCGTCCCCTTCTCCTTCTGCCCTCCATCTTTCCCAACATCAGGGTCTTTTCCAGGAGGTCTTCTCTTCTCGTGAGGAGGCCAAAGTATTGGAGCCTCAGCTTCAGGATCTGTCCTTCCAGTGAGCACTCAGGGCTGATTTCCTTCAGAATGGATAGGTTTGATCTTCTTGCAGTCCATGGGACTCTCAAGAGTCTCCTCCAGCACCATACTAGTAAAAGGAACCCATAGAATCATAGAATTGTGGAGCTGGAAGGGACCAGGAGGGACATCTAGTCCAATCAGGAATCTTTTGCCCAACGTGGGGCTCAAACTCACGAGCCAGAGATTAAGAATCCCATGTTCTCTACCAACTGAGCTATCCCATGATGTGACTTGGTTGCATTCAGCATTTACCCACTCACTCAGCAAGCTTTAGCCAATAAATTGGAGTGAGAGTGGAGCAATGCTGAAGGTGATAACATCACTCCATTGTCTCTTGAGACAGACAGATGGCAACAACAGCAGCTTTTATCATCCTGAACTGTTGTGGGTGGACAGGGCAGGGCAGGGCAGGTGTTGACTGCTGGAGTCCACCCATGTCAGGAGAACCAAAGGTTTCCCACCCCTGATCTAGTGAAACCAACATGTGATGTGCCATGCAGAGGTCTGGAAGGCTGCAGTTTGAATTTGGGTCACAGGTTTCTGGTTCCTCACACCTGGGACTCATCTACACTAGTCAATTATACTGTTATAACTGCTTTATAAACATGTGGCAGCAGATGGCACTGTAGAGCAGTGATCTGTCGCCAGTGGGATTTTGCATTGAGGGCTTTTATAGTTTCCCCCCCTCCTATAGTGTTTTTTTAATAGTATAGATCAAGCCCTGGTCTGCAGCCTTGAATCAACAACTGCTGTTTTGCAAGTGAAGGCACTTTGGCTGATGCAAGGTGGTAAAAGTGCACATGATAATTTATCCATTCCTGCAGCAACTCCTCCTCCTCTTTCCGCGTTCCATGCCATTCTGTGGGTCCTCCCTGTCATCAAGAATGGCTTTTCACAAGGCTGCAGCAAGGCAAGATCTGATGGCAGGAACCATATCTGAGCACAGAGCGACCAGAAGCACTTGTCATTCTAGAACAGCATGAGCTATAATGGAAGCTTTCAACCAGGAGGCTTGGAATGGAAGCCACATGTGACTCTTGGAACCAGAAAGATTTGGTTACAGACAGACAGATGATTGGTTTCTACTAGGGAAGAATGTTGGACTGCTCCCAAGAAGAACAGGACATTTTGAGTGTGGACAGAAAAAGGCTAGAGTCACACAAGCCCTCCACTCCCAGCTCCTGGTTGAAATCACCCATTGCAAGGCAGGCACATAATGCAGATTAGGAGGTCCTCTTCTCTATTGCTTTGGTGGGCTGCTTCATCTCCCAGCATTGATTCCTGACCCATATTTCAGCTGGGTTTAATTCACCAGGGACGCAGGTGGCGCTGTGGTCTAAACCACTTAGCCTAGGGCTTGCCGATCGGAAGGTCGGCAGTTCGAATCCCCGCGATGGGGTAAGCTCCCGTTGATTGGTTGCTGCTCCTGTCAACCTAGCAGTTTGAAAGCATGTCAAAGTGTAAGTAGATAAATAGGTACCACTCCGGCGGGAAGGTAAACGGTGTTTCCGTGCGCTGCTCTGGTTCGCCAGAAGCGGCTTAGTCATGCTGGCCACATGACCCGGAAACTGTACGCCAGCTCCCTCGGCCAGTAAAGTGAGATGAGCGCCGCAACCCCAGAGTTGTCCGCGACTGGACCTAATAGTCAGGGGTCCCTTTACCTTTATCTTTGCCTTAATTCACCAATTA